GAACCATACAAGTTTTAAGAAGAGGTTTGACAAAGCTCATGGAAGCAGAGAGAGAGAGGATCCAGTAGCAATCAGTGAAGAGGCGGGCCAGGAGCTGAGTCTCGACCCCTGCAACCACAATTAGGTGAGTCACAATTAGGAGTACACACACACACCACACACACACAACACACACACCACAGGCAAAACCCAGGAAAACAAGGAATAATAATACAGACCAGAAACGCAGTATCACAAAGAGGAGGCCAGACGGACAGTATGAAAACGACATAGCAAGAAAGGGCAAATCTGACCCAAACTGCTGTTTAGCCATCTCAGGAGGAAGAACAGGAAGGACCAGGTGATAAGGCTGAGGAAAGAAGGTGGAGAACTCACAAGAAACGATCAAGAGGTATGTGAGGAGCTCAACACGAGATTTAAGGAAGTATTTACAGTAGAGACAGGAAGGCCTCTGGGGGGACAGACCAGATGGGGACACCAGCAAGGAATACACCAACAAGTGTTGGACAACATACATACAGATGAGAAGAGTGGAAGAAACTGCTAAGGGACATAGATACCTCAAAGGCAATAGGACCGGACAACATCTCCCCGTGGGTCCTTAGAGAGGGAGCAGATATGTTGTGCATGGAAACTGGGCAACTACCTGAGGTATGGAAGACGGCAAATGTAGTTCCCATTTTTAAAAAAGGAGACAGAAAAGAGGCACTAAATTATAGACCTGTGTCATTCACGTGTATAGTATGCAAAGTTATGGAGAAGATTATCAGGAGGAGAGTGGTGGAGCACCTGGAACGAAACAAGAGTATAAATGCCAACCAGCACGGATTCATGGAAGGCAAATCCTGTGTCACACACCTTCTGGAGTTTTATGATAAAATAACAAAAGTAAGACACGAGAGAGAGGGGTGGGTTGATTGCATCTTCTTGGACTGCAAGAAGGCCTTTGACACAGTTACTCACAAGAGATTAGTGCAGAAGCTAGAGCATTAGGCGCATATAACAGGAAGGGCACTGCAATGGATCAGAGAATACCTGACAGGGAGGCAACAACGAGTCATGGTACGTAATGATGTATCACAGTGGGCACCTGTGACGAGCGGGGTCCCACAGGGGTCGGTCCTAGGACCAGTGCTATTTTTGGTATATGTGAACGACATGATGGAAGGGTTAGACTCAGAAGTGTCCCTGTTTGCAGATGATGTGAAGTTAATGAAGAGAATTAAATCAGATGAGACCAGGCAGGACTTCAAAGAGACTGGACAGACTGGACACCTGGTCTAGCAAATGGCTTCTCGAATTTAATCCTGCCAAATGCAAAGTCATGAAGATAGGGAAAGGGCACAGAAGACCACAGAGTATAGGCTAGGTGGCCAAAGACTGCAAACCTCACTCAAGGAGAAAGATCTTGGGGTGAGTATAACACCGAGCATGTCTCCAGAAGCACACATCAACCAGATAACTGCTGCAGCATATGGGCGCCTGCAAACCTGAGAACAGCATTCCGATACTTAGTAAGGAATCGTTCAAGACACTGTACACAGTGTATGTCAGGCCCTTACTGGAGTATGCAGCACCTGTTTGGAACCCGCACTTGATAAAGCACGTCAAGAAACTAGAGAAAGTACAAAGGTTTGCAACAAGGTTAGTTCCAGAGCTAAGGGGAATGTCCTATGAAGAAAGATTAAGGGAAATCGGCCTGACGACATTGGAGGACAGGAGGGTCAGGGGAGACATGATAACGACATATAAAATACTGCGTGGAATAGACAAGGTGGACAAAGACAGGATGTTCCAGGGAGGGGACACAGAAACAAGAGGCCACAATTGGAAGTTGAAGACACAAATGAGTCAGAGAGATATTAGGAAGTATTTCTTCAGTCATAGAGTTGTCAGGCAGTGGAACAGCCTAGAAAATGATGTAGTGGAGGCAGGAACCATACACAGTTTTAAGACGAGGTTTGATAAAGCTCATGGAGCGGGGAGAGAGAGGGCCCAGTAGCAACCGGTGAAGAGGCAGGGCCAGGAGCTAAGACTCGACCCCTGCAACCACAAATAGGTGAGTACACACACACACACACACACACACACACACACACACACACACACACACACACACACACACACACACACACACACACACTCACACTCACACTCACACTCACACTCACACGCACACGCACACGCACACACACACAGAGAGTCACAGAGGGTGAGGCAATGGGAGGAAGAAAGGGCAAAATCAGTGTTTATCCATGGGCTTCAGGAGAGAGAGGAAAGGACACACACTGAAAGGCAGCAGGAAGAAAGAAAGGAGATTGAGAAAATCATCACGGAAATAGGTGAAGAGATGGACGAGATTGTAAATTTTCAGAGAATAGGGGGGTACTCGAAGGGGAGAAACCGACCAATCAAGCTGATTCTCAGGACGGAAACAGTGCGGAACAGGATCCTCCAAGAGAAACCACGATTGAAATACTCGGAAGAGTACAAGAGGGTGTTCCTAGACAGAGACAGAACAAAATCAGAACGACAGCAGCTGAGGGAGAGGACAAAAAAGCGAAAGGAGCTAGGAAAAGAGACAAGGAGGGAACCAGCAGAGGTCAGTCAGAGCAGAACAGAACAGCAAGGGCAAGCACCACACAACACTCTCGACGGCGCGGGAGTGACCCGAATCTCTCCAGGTAGACTCCAGGTAGAACCATACAACCTATCACACCATCCCAACACACACTACAATCCATACCCACAGCCTCCACTCAACACCGAGCTATAGAATCCCACAGTATGCCACCAGGTCTCCCACCCTCACAGGCCCCCCAAACCACAGTGTTGAAAAGGAAACTGAAGGTATGGTACACAAACGCTGATGGAATAACAAATAAGTGGGAGGAGTGGCATAGAAAGAGTCAAAGAAGCATCACCGGACATCATAGCTCTCACAGAAACCAAGCTTACAGGTATGATAACAGATGCCATCTTTCCAACGGGATACCAAATCCTGAGGAAAGACAGAGGGAACAGGGGGGGTGGAGGAGTGGCGTTGCTGATCAAAAATCGCTGGAATTTTGATGAGCTGGAGAGAGGAGACAGCGGAGAAGAAAGTGATTACATAGTGGGAACACTTCACTCTGGAGGTCCCAAGGTGGTAATAGCAGTGATGTATAACCCACCACAGAACAGCAGGAGGCCAAGGCAAGAGTACGACGAGAGCAATAGAGCGATGGTTGACACACTGGCTAGAGTGGCCAGAAGAGCTCATGCATGCAGGGCAAAGCTCCTGATCATGGGTGACTTTAACCACAAGGAGATCGATTGGGAGAACTTGGACCACATGGGGGCCAAGATACATGGAGGGCTAAGATGATGGAGGTGGTACTGGAAAACTTCATGTGCCAACACGTAAGGGACACTACAAGAGAGAGAGGAGAGGATGAACAGCAAGGCTGGACTTAGTATTCACCTTGAGTAGTGCAGATATCGAGGACATCACATATGAAAGACCCCTTGGGGCCAGTGACCATGTGGTTTTAAGCTTCGAATACACAGTAGAGCTACAAGTGGAGGGAGAAGCAGGAAGGCCAGGACGAATGAAGCCAAACTACAAGAAAGGGGACTACACAGGAATGAGGAACTACCTGAACGGGGTTCAGTGGGACAGAGAACTGGCAGGGAAGCCAGTTAATGAGATGATGGAATATGTAGCAACAAAATGCAAGGAGGCTGAGGAGAGGTTTGTACCCAAGGGTAACAGGATTAATGAAAAAGCCAGGAAGGACAACTTAAACAACGCCCGTGTACAACACCGAAATTCCACCAATCATCTCATGAAATTCAGAGACGCCCAATTAGTGATCAAAGAAACTAATTTCCGCAGACGCAAGTGCCTTGAATCAGCACTGATCGCTGTTTCGAATACAATTAAACAAAACAACGGCAGCTTCACCATCTCCGAAGTCTTAGCAAGAATCCTCCTGAAAACAGTAAACCCTGCCATCACATAGTCTCTCCTGTTATACTACACAAAGCACATTACAGAGAGTGAACACTGAAAAAAACCTGCCTCTTTCCAGTCTATATTTGTCCAACCTATTTTTGTTACTCAAGTAATAGCTTTTATATCCTTTTACTCATGTACGAATTAACTGCTCTTCCTTATTGTATTATTTTTGTTACTACTACTACTACTACCACCACTAGTGAACATCGAAATGTTACCTCACTAGTATTGCACCTCACTCAGAGCCTTTATATACCCTCTGTGTCCATGTATTGTTTGTAATGGCTTGATAAAGCTCCTGGAGAGCGAAACGTTGCCACAATAAATGTCACATTAGTTGCACTTGTGTCCTTTTACTAGTCATAGAATTGTCAGGCAGTGGAATAGCCTAGAAAGTGACACAGTGGAGGCGGGAACCATGCATAGTCTTAAGATGAGGTTTGATAATGCTCATGGAGCAGTGAAAAGGCGGGGCCAAGAGATATGAATCAAGCCCTGCAACCACAAATAGTTGAGTACAAATTGGTGAGTTCACACACACAGGCTGTAAATCAACCCTGCAACTACATATAGGTGAGCACATCCCCCACCCACCCCAAGTAACCATCCCCTATCTCCACGGGAGCTGTGACTCGACCCTGCAACCACATACAGGTGAGTAAACTCACCTGCACCCATCCTACAGAAAACATTTTCTCCTCTACCTTCAAAAGATGTATATTAACAAAATATTTATTTTTCTTATTTTACCTCACTGACCATCTCCCATCAAGGCAGGGTGACCCATAGAAAAAACATACATTCAAGTACATAATATATAAAAATTACACCTAAGAATAAAATCTGAGGAAAACTGAAAATGTTTGAATAGAGAAATATAAATATATAGATAGAATGATAATTTTTTTTTTTGGTCCCATTACCTCGGTGGGAGATGGCCAATGTTAAAAAAAAATAAAAAATAATTTACAATGCAATACTCAAGAAAGTGATGACTTACTTCGATTGCTTTGGAATACAATCTGGTTATTGAGGTGCTGAACAGCTTTCTGAGCTTCTTCCAGGGAAGAAGAGAGCTGCAGTTTTGGTCTGACTGCTGAGATGGTGTCACGTACAAGGTGTTCAATTTGCCATGGAAATTCATGCTCTTCATTCCAAATGCTTAAACTCTTTTTATATTGGTAGTAATGCTGCCAAAAGATAATACTATGTATGTACAGAAAAATAAGTTTCACACACTTCTGTATTTATTATGAGTCCAACTACAGTATACAGAGTGCAGCAAAAGTCACTTTCCCAATAATATATTAATCACTCTGTGATGCATAATAATTGATGTAATAATGTTGGTAGAATTACTTACAATATGTTAGGTAAAAGGACACGAGTGCAACTCTAATGCGACATTTTATTGTGGCAATGTTTCTTTCTCCAGAAGCTTTGTCAAGCCATTACATAACAGCTTGAGAAAGCTCCTGGAGAACAAAACATTGCCACAACAAAATGTCGCATTAGTTGCACTTGTCCTTTTACCTAACATAAAAATTGTTGCAGCCAAATACATGTATAAATACATATAATTATTTTTGTTAATTCTGTCATATACTGTATACATAATTCTAAAACTGCACTCCAATTCTATTACTGTATTCTAATCACAATTATTATAGTATTATGTTTTCTAACCACTGTACCTATATACTTAAAAATTCTTATTAGGTGGAATATCTTAGAAATATAGTTGTGCATAAATTTATACAACTTTGTGTAGCAATGATCACCTGAGTGAGACAAATTTTCGAGGATGAATTTAACAACTGTTGAGAAAAATGTACATCTCTTTTCATTATATTCATTATTCTTGGTTCATTATGTTATCATGTCCACTCTGTAATCCTATTTTGTGATGCTTGTATTAAGTAAAGTGGGTGATTAAGGTAGCTATTTCAAAATAACCCTATCTTCAGAGGGCCTCAAACCTTAACCTCTTTATCATAACCAAATAAAAATTGACTGAGTTTAATAAATCAATTACACTTAACCCTTAAACTATATATGACATAGATCTTCAATCATATGGGAAACTGTTTACCACATAAATTTATATAGACACATACAAAACAAATTACAAAAATAAGACCATGGCAATGTTGAAACAATCAACAATTTAAGGGTTAACTAGCCTTGATTTATTTGAGATGAAGAAATACTCTCTAAGTACACGCCCTAGACTTAAAAAATATTACATTACTTACTTGAAAATATATGAGAAAGCAATCGAGACGCCGCTTGCTAGAGCCAGAGCTGAAAAACTGGCCACAAGTTTCCAGGAGTGTACACACTAAACGCAAGCGAAACAGGTGCTCTGGTGGGTCATATTCACTATATATGTTCGGGTCAAAGAGTACCCCAAATGAGCAGAACAAATAGAGCACCTGGCGTAATAAAAGCTGACTTGAGTACATGGCACAGTGGTAATGTTTGAGGTAAAAAGTAAAATAGAGTACTAAAACAAAAATATCCATAACACAATACTTCCAAAGTATCTAATACAAACTAATCTTTCACCTGAATATAATAAGGAATTTTTTTGGGGTTAATGGCTTAGATTTATCACAACATACCTTTAAAAAATACAGAAAAAACTTTACCTTAAAAATAATAGTACTTTCAATTACACGGTAATTGTAGAGCTCTCCTAAGTACTTTACTGCAGCAACTCGTCGCTGGTTATATTTAGGATGATTCACCTCTAAACCAAGACGTATTTCTTCCAAAATACCATCCACAACAGCTGGGCCCACCCAGTCCTAATTCAAGTAAATATTGCTTGCTTTAACATAATCAGCAGGGCCTGGTTATAATGCTAGTAGGCTTTAAAACATAACAGAACTTAAAATAAGGTGGGTAGTAAGTTTAGAAGATGACTCAAGAATATTACAGGAAGACCTTAATAGATTTCTCATATAATAATAAATAATAGAATTAATGCTATCCCTTCTCTTGCCCTAGTTTTCTCAAATATATCTGATTTCATTCCAGTCACTCCTCATTTTACATTAACTAAGAGTAATTTTACTATGGATACCAAAAATTCCCCTTCAGCATTTATAAATCATAAAAGTTACAAGAGATTACAAAAGTGCTGCAACAAATGCAAGGCAAGAGCCTCAACCAAGAAGGCATTCACGACCCTATACATGGCATGTGCTGAGTCCATATTGGAGTATGCAGTGCCATGTTAGAAACTGCATCTGATATAACACGTGAGGAAGCTGGAAAAAATATAAAGCTTTGCAACAAGACTATTCCCCAAGCTAAGGAAAATGAGCTATGAGGAGAGGCTAGAGAAGCTAAACCTGATGACATAAGAGGACAGAAGAACCATGGCATATATATGACATACAAAACAGTGAGAGGAACTGAAAGGGTGAGTCTATTTGAGAGTCAGGTTTCAGATACATGAGGGCACAACTGGAAGTTAAGACACAAACACTTTAGGGAATCCTTTAACTGTTTAGGAAATAATTAACACACATTCTTCAGGATTTCATGGGGTAAATTCCTCCATGATTCATGGATGGCATCCTCCACTTGTGGGAGTGGGCTGATATCCTTCCCCCTAGTAGCTCTCTCTATTACTACCCAGAGGTTCTCAATGAGATTCAAGTCTGGGGACTTTCCTGGCCAGTCATCAAAGAACACCTCACAGTTAGGAAGCCACTGAATAACAGAATTCAAGGAGTAGCAAGGAGCACTCTCTTGTAAAACATTTTTGCACCACACTGTGAATGATTTGGGTAAATGATCAGGGCAATTCTAGGCATGTCATACAGTTAACTATTTCCTCTGTTTGATGGCATGCCTTATCAAATGGAACGATCTGTACAACTGTCTCTTGTGTCAGCCAGCAACTTACTTCCTATATTAATTCATCTACAGCCAAAAATGTCTGACAAACTTGATACTCTAAACCACATGGTGAAAAGACCAAAAACACAAATCCATTCACCACACAAGCCTAGAAAGTACTTAGGATGCAGCTAGTAGCCTTGGGTAATTCTGAGATGTCCCCTACAAGTTGCTTGGCCACCCAATCTTTTTTTCTCACTGAAACTCCTGCCAGGGTAGGATATTACTTTCACCATTAACATATGCCAGCTGACTGCACCCAATATATTTTAATTACAAGGTAGTTGGTGCATTACAACTCAAAAAAAGAAGACCTAAATTAAATGAAGTTCGATCATTGCTGATCCGTAACATGAATGAGAACGCCATGGGTTAAGAATCAATTAAATATGCTTATTAATTAGTTCATCTGTGTGTACCTATTACAGTATTTTCCATTTTTCTAGGGTGATGACACCATTGGTTTATGCTCAAAGTTTTCTCTCCATGTACTATAAGTAGTACTCCTATATACTCTCACTCTTTTTAGCTTCTACAATAAGCACTTCTATACACCCTCACTCATCTTACTCAACTTCTACAATAAGCACTCCTATACACCCTCACCATTCTTACTCAGCTCTTTTCACACCTTGAAATGTCATTTTTTTAACTTACTGTCTTCATATATCATTCAAAAATCATCATAAATATTCATCTCTTTCAGTTCCTTACTCAACACCAGAGTAGATTTTTTCATAACTCTTATTCTATTTCATATGGTTCACCCTCATCCCTCCCTCCCTTAATGCCAGGAAATTTAATTCTATCACTAATCCTTAACACAGAAAACATAGACAATCATTATGATAGATGACAAGCTGAAGACAGGACACCTTGAGCATAGTTCTGCTATAGCAATATATAGGTATGCTTCCAAGCTATTGTAACTTATAGTAAGTAAACGAATGCTAAAGCGTAACCCAAAGCCTATTGTTGACCTTGACTTTTTTTGGAAAAAAAAAAAATGCCTTATATGCCAGAATATACATTAATTACTAGGTAGTAGGTTGGTAGACAGCAACCGCCCAGGGAAGTACTACCGTCCTGCCAAGTGAGTGTAAAACGGAAGCCTGTAATTGTTTTACATGATGGTAGGATTGCTGGTGTCTTCTGTCTGTCTCATACACATGCAAGATTTCAGGTACATCTTGCTACTTCTACTTACACTTAGGTCACACTACACATACATGTACAAACATATATATACGCACCCCTCTGGGTTTTCTTTTATTTTCTTTCTAGTTCTTGTTCTTGTTTATTTCCTCTTACCTCCATGGGGAAGTGGAACAGAATTCTTCCTCCGTAAGCCATGTGTGAGGCGACTAAAATGCCGGGAGCAAGGGGCTAGTAACCTCTTTTCCTGTATATATTACTAAATGTAAAAGGAGAAACTTTCATTTTTCCTTTTGGGCCACCCTGCCTCGGTGGGATACATTAATTACAAGCAGAAAATTACTAACATGATGAGAGATGAGGCCAGCCACCAGGTTTGCAATGCAACGAATATTGTAAAATTTGGCATTCCAGACTGCTGTCAAACACTTCACAATGTAACTGACAGTCGGTGGGTCTTCCCAGTGCATCTTCCGCATCTGAAAATTAAATGAACACTGAACACTGACAGAATATAACGAATAAGTTTCCAAACATGATACAATGAAACTAGAAATGCCATATCTAAAAATCTTCTAGTTAATAGAATATTTTATGTACTTAAGCCTTAAATTTAAGTATAGTTTTACAATCTAAAGCCTACACAGACCATAGTATAGTATTCCAGAATTTGCAGAAACTAAGGAATCACAGAAAACAATAACTAATGTTGGTTAACTAGGTACATATAAACTGGGGAAGTCATGGAAACTTACCTGTCTCAAAATTTTCTCCGTATTAGACTTACAGAGGTCATTGTAAAGAAGCTTGCGAATGTATTGATGTATCGTTGGCCGCTCTTTTTTGGTGGTCTCGGGACCAGTGTCTGGTGGGTTGACATAGAAATATGCATTTTCTATCATAGTGTTATACCTGTCAAAGAAAGAGTACATGTACTTATGACAGCATTTAATGATAATATTTATTTATTTGTATTTATTTGTAATGCAAACTAATCTGACATATTATAAACACTGACTGCTGAGTTAAAGTCATAATGTTAACAAATGTCTTTTACTGGTAGTTGGTCACCAACAGCAACAGCCAGGTTGAACAGGCAAGCAAAAGAAAAGCCTGAGTACAGTCTGAGCTGCAGGACTCGGAAGAATCTCAAAACCAGTCAAAGGTGTGTCACACAAGTGCCATAGTAAATTCTGATAAACTCAAACTGCTAGCTCAGATAACTGAACAAAGTTGTATATTGGTGCTCCATCACCGAGAACATTACATGTCAGTTCTATTAGTATGATGTAAAAGGGACGTATCATTTTTTATTGTGATAGATGCATTCTTGACCTATGGTGCATCAAGTAAATTTAATATAATATGTAAAACATAGAGCTTCATTCTGACACATTACTAATTCCACATTCCTTGACCAATAAAAAAAAAAAATGACTTTGCTCTACATGCATGAAATGGTCATATATTATACACAAAAAAAAAATTAATTTAGTCTGAAAAAATTAAAAAAAAATTATAAATTTAATCACAATCCCTATATAATATGAAGGCAGGAAAAATTACGCATATCTATACTTATTTTTACAAACAATTCTGAGCATAAGCTAGGCACCGAACAGTCATATACAGTAATAACAATAAATGTAAATAATCAAAAAACAAACTAGAGAAAAGGAAATACAATCAAAAGGTAACTCACCCCTTTTACCCCTCACTCCTCCACCAACCTACAATCTTGTTTTACTCTCAGTTGAATAAATAAATAAATATATAAACACACACGCCTATAATACAGTATAATATAAGCAAACATATATATAAGCACACACACAATTTTCCTGTAAAACTTACCTGGGATCAAAAGCCTTAACTGTTTTCTTCCTCATCATCTGCTCAAGATAAATTTTTGTTCTATGGTGCGAATCTGGAATTCTGGTAAAGAGTAGCAATATTAGAAACATGGGCCATAGTGGTGTGCCTGTTGAAATTAAATTAGTTAAGATCTATACAGAAAGTCCCCAATTTATGATTTCCAGCCAATAATGTTCTGCACTATGACACTAGTACTTTGTACAATTAATGGCCTATAAATGCTGATTTGGATATATGTAGTACAATAATTATAAATACTCGAACAATTTTTTTTAACTCAGTGGCCATCTGCTCCCACAGCAGGGTGGCCCACAGAAGTATGATGACATCACGATCAGATTAGACTTCTGACTGCAACATCTCCATTTCTCTTTCAGAGTGCAGGCACTGCCCTACCCACCTCCAAGACTTATGTCCAGGTACCCAGTTTCCCTGAATCCCTACAACACCACATCAATTAAAAACTACTTAGTCTCCATGCACTCCTACTTGACATACTCACACATGCCTACTGGATGCTCAAGCCCCTAAAATTCAAAGCCTCTTCTATGCCCTCCCTCCAACCATACCTGGTATGACCCCTCCCTCTCCTACCCTCCACTCCATATTTATACACCCTCTTCATCAACCTATCTTTGTCTTATAAGTTTTACATGCCCAAACCATCCCAACAATGCCTCCTTTGAAATTATTGCAATAAGCAGTTTTTCTCGGCTAATTTTCACCAAGTGCATTCACGTACAGGAAACCCTCGACTGAGAGATAATTAGGATAAGTGGGTAGCTGATAATGGAAAGCGAAGTGGGCAGATATCGTAACTGCTTTGCTGTGATAATAACAACTGACAATGTTGAAACCAATGAATTTTGTCAAATGTTTCTTTGTTAAATAGCCCAAGGGATTTTGTTCCAGTTTTCCAAAGCATTTTATGCAAGTGGAGAGCTCATGTTTGTTTGATAAATATTGGTAAAGAATGTTTTTTTTTTTTTTTTTTTTTTTAGCAAGTCGGCCGTCTCCCACCGAGGCATGGTGACTCAAAAAGAAAGAAAATCCCCAAAAAGAAAATACTTTCATCATCATTCAACACTTTCACCTCACTCACACATAATCACTGTTTGTGCAGAGGTGCTCAGAATACAACAGTTTAGAAGCATATACATAATAAAGATGCACAACATATCCCTCCAAATTGCCAATATCCCAAACCCCTCCTTTAAAGTGCAGGCATTGTACTTCCCATTTACAGGACTCAAGTCTGGCTATGTACAAATAACCGGTTTCCCTGAATCCCTTCACTTAATATTACCCTGCTCACATTCCAACAGCTCATCAGGTCCCAAAATACCATTCGTCTCCATTCACTCCTATCTAACACACTCATGCACTCTTGCTGGAAGTCCAAGCCCCGCGCCCACAAAACCTCTTTTACCCCCTCCCTCCAACCTTTTCGAGACGACCCCTACCCGTCTTCCTTCCCCTACAGATTTATACGCTCTCCATGTCATTCTACTTTGATCCATTCTTTCTAAATGACCAAACCACCTCAACAACACCTCTTCAGCCCTCTGATGAATACTTTTATTAACTCCACACCTTCTCCTAATTTCCACACTCTGAATTTTCTGCATAATATTTACACCACATATTGCCCTTAGACAAGACATCTCCACTGCCTCCAACCGCCTCCTTGCTGTAGCATTTACAACCCAAGCTTCACACCCATATAAGAGTGTTGGTACTACTATACTTTCATACATTCCCTTCTTTGCCTCCACAGATAACGTTTTTTGTCTCCACATATACCTCAACACACCACTTGCCTTTTTTCCTTCATCAATTCTATGATTAACCTCATCCTTCATAAATCCATCCGCTGACATGTCAACTCCCAAATATCTGAAAAAATTCACTTCTTCCATACTCCTTCTCTCCAATTTGATATCCAATTTTTCTTTATCTAAATCAGTTGATACCCTCATCACCATACTTTTTTCTATGTTCACTTTCAACTTTCTACCTTTACACACACTCCCAAACTCGTCCACTAACCTTTGCAATTTTTCTTTAGAATCTCCCATAAGCACAGTATCATCAGCAAAAAGTAACTGTGTCACTTCCCATTTTGTATTTGATTCCCCATAATTTAATCCTACCCCTCTCCCGAACACCCTAGCATTTACTTCTTTTACAACCCCATCTAAAAATATATTAAACAACAATGGTGACATTACACATCCCTGTCTAAGACCTACTTTTACCGGGAAGTAGTCTCCCTCTCTTCTACACACCCTAACATGAGCCTCACTATCCTCATAAAAACTCTTTACAGCATTTGGTAACTTACCACCTATTCCATATACTTGCAACATCTGCCACATTGCTTCCCTATCCACTCTATCTTTTTTTTTTTTTTTCAACAAGTCGGCCGTCTCCCACCGTCTCCCTACCTTTATCTAAATACTGTTCACATATATGCTTCAATGTAAACACTTGATCTACACATCCCCTACCCACTCTAAAACCTCCTTGCTCATCCACAGTCCAACATTCTGTCTTACCTCTAATTCTTTCAATAATAACCCTACCGTACACTTTTCCTGGTATACTCAGTAAACTTATTCCTCTATAATTTTTACTATCTTTTTTGTCCCCCTTCCCTTTATATAAAGGGACTATACAAGCTCTCTGCCAATACGTAGGTACCTTCCCCTCTTTCATACATTTATTTATTTCTATCTTTTTCAACACACCGCATATCCCCCAAGCAGGGGATGGCCCAAAAAGAAACGAAAGTTTTTCTTTTAAATTTAGTAATATATAAACGAGAATGGTTACACGCCTTTCTCCCGGCATTTTAGAAGAGTCCTCTTACAACACGCATGGTTTACGGAGAAGTTCTGTCCACTCTCCCTGAGATAAAGGAATTAAACAGACAAGAACTAGAAAGAAAATAGAAGAATACCCAGAGGGGTGTGTATATATATGCTTGAACATGTATGTGTAGTGTGACCTAAGTGCAAGTAGAAGTAGCAAGACATACCTGAAATCTTGCATGTTTATGAGACAGACAAAAGACACCAGCAATCCTACCATCATGTAAAACAATTACAGGTTTTCGTTGTACACTCACTTGGCAGGATGGCAGTACCTCCCTGGGCAGTTACTGTTTACCAACCTACTACCTAGGTTTCATACATTTATTAAACAAAAATAAAAACACGAGAAATTAAATCTTCATCAGAGTACAAAACAAATTCTGGCCACAAAATAGAGCGAAACACCAACGTCAAAGACCTGGGAGTGATCATGTCGGAGGATCTCACCTTCAAGGACCATAACATTGTATCAATCACATCTGCTAGAAAAATGACAGGATGGATAATGAGAACCTTCAAAACTAGGGAGGCCAAGCCCATGATGACACTCTTCAGGTCACTTGTTCTATCTAGGCTGGAATATTGCTGCACACTAACAGCACCTTTCAAGGCAGGTGAAATTGCTGACCTAGAAAATGTACAGAGAACCTTCACGGCGCGCATAACGGAGATAAAACACCTCAATTACTGGGAGCACTTGAGGTTCCTAAACTTGTATTTCCTGGAACGCAGGCGGGAGAGATACATGATTATATACACCTGGAAAATCCTAGAGGGACTAGTACCGAACTTGCACACGAAAATCACTCACTACGAAAGCAAGACTTGGCAGACGATGCAACATCCCGCCAATGAAAAGCAGGGGTGTCACTAGCACGTTAAGAGACCATACAATAAGTGTCAGGGGCCCGAGACTGTTCAACTGCCTCCCAGCATACATAAGGGGGATTACCAACAGACCCCTGGCAGTCTTCAAGCTGGCACTGGACAAGCACCTAAAGTCAGTTCCTGACCAGCCGGGCTGTGGCTCGTACGTTGGTTTGCGTGCAGCCAGCAGCAACAGCCTGGTTGATCAGGCTCTGATCCACCAGGAGGCCTGGTCACAGACCGGGCTGCGGGGGCGTTGACCCCCGGAACTCTCTCCAGGTAAACTCCAGGTATATCCCCCCTGCTTTTAACATTTCTGTCATGATCCAGTCAGTTCCAGCTGCTTTACCCCCTTTCATTCTACGTAATGCCTCATGCACCTCCCCCACACTCACATCCTGCTCTTCTTAACTCCTAAAAGATGGTATACCTCCCTGGCCAGTGCATGAAATTACCGCATCCCTTTCTTCGTCGACATTTAAAAGTTCCTCAAAATATTCTCGCCATCTATCTCACCCTATGTAGTGATATTTAATTAATGTTTATGTTATTCATGAGAGCTGGGTTCCCATTTGTTTGATAAAGATTGGTCAAAAATTGTAGATATAAATATATTTTTTTTTTTTTTGGGTGATGCTGATATGTAGTGTTGCATGTAAGGCAGCATCTCCACTGACACTGCCTCCCTCGTCCTCTGCTGCCCATGTATTGGATATGTCAATGTGAGAATGATGACAGTGGGAGCTTGTCACCCCTTTACCTCTCCAGTCTCTCCACCCTCACCCAACCTCTTCTCCATCCTCCCACTACCTCCCCTTTCTCTTTCTGAGATAATCCACCTACTGCTTGCCACTAAACATCTGTACTGTGTAATGCATATCTACAAGTGAAAACGAATAGTTCTATCAAATGTAAAATACTTGGTAAATAAAATGAAATTTTTTTATAGCAAATTATGGCTCTGGAATTCAACTCAGATTATAATAAAGGTATCTACTAATTTTCAGGAACATATTAGCATAAGTTGGGGACCTACTGTATATGGTAAAATCCTAGATTGGAAAGAATGTACAATAAAAATAGTTTGCACAGAAACAATATAAGAGAAGAGGAAAGATATGTGGCATCATTTTATAAAGCAGGACAAGACACCAAAAAACTAGGTATTTAATATATCACATGCCACTATATATTTCATAATACATAATTCTATGGTCTTAAACATACTTGCCAAAAAATTTTAGTAAGCGATTAGTCTAACATTAATATGAAGGTAGAAAATCCTGGTAATTACCAACATGCAGCTACAGGGGCAGA